CAAGAACTGGCTGAAAGTGAAAAGGCTTTTGTCGCCACTGTGTCAAGAGATGTGGAAGGATATTGGTCATCTGGAGATGATGATGATGTAACCACTAGCAGAAACATGTGTCTCATGGCTCGACAAGAAATTGAATGTGATGAAGGCTATTGGTCTTCTGCGTCCGAAGGAGATGATGATGTTGCTGAACCTCACTACTGCTACATGGCCACCAACGATCCACCTGGTCGAAGCATCATTTAGCAGGTAAAATCTATGATCCCTGATAATAATTTTGGTTTATCTATTTGTGAACCATATCTAACCCAGATCCAATCAGATATGACCATCATTTACAATGTCTATGAGTTAGCCATAGAAGCCAGTGAGAAGAAGGATAGTGAATTGAGTCGTCTTAGGTTACATTTCGAGGATAAGAAGTTAAAAGTTGAGTTTTAGAACATGAGCTTGTAATGTCAAAAGATGAATGTATCATTCTTAAAGACAAATGTGAAATCACTTATTCTGAGAGAAATATTTTAATTTCTGATAACAAACGTCTTAATGCTAAGATTGATGCCATGCACCATGCCATAGACATTCTTGAAGAAAATGAACGGTTGACTTACAATTTTCATCATCCTTGGTCAAAAGCTCCTGGTCTCGGAAGCGAATTTCCGAAACCAGTTGTTCGTCCCTTAAAGGAATTGCAAAATCTGACTTTTATGGGAGATGTTCCGAACCTAAAAAATTCGAATACTCCTGTTTCTCCTTTGTCACCTCTTAATGAGAATTCTTATCATTTTACATCCTTGATTCCTGAATTTAAGCCCATAGTCGTCAAGAGTCCCGATTCCACGCAATTTCCGCCTCTGATAAACCTGGACCTGAATCGGACCTCTGAACTTGACTCTAGTACTCAAAAGATTGTTGTTCAAAAATCCGAACCTTAGCCCTCTTAACAACTGTGTTATTGAGTAAATTTTTCTGGAATCAACCTTTTCTGACCCTTCAGAGTGTGTTTTGGCATCCTTAGATAGTGAAGTCGATGAGACAGTCTCATGTGATTCCGAACCTCAAGTGCTTTAAAAAACAAATCCAATGTTAAATAGGAAGGATATTGTAGATCATAAAGTGGAGGCTCAGAATGCACACAAAAAGGAAGTTAAGACTAGACAAAATTCAAGATTCCTTGAGAACTCCAAAAAGAGTGTATCTCGGAATTCTCGTTCATCATCCCATAGTCAAAACTCCTTCACACCCACTAAGATCCTCAAAAGACCCTCAAATCTTCCAAGTCTTGTAGAACAAAAGAAAATGGTTAGTCAAACTCAGGAAAAGTCAAGAGTAATCACCACATTTGTCTGAAACACCTCTCCTCGGTTTGTTTCATCTGTTTCATGGCAAAATTTGATGGCACAATTTTTAGACCTCGACTTTCAAAATCAAATGTGCCATCAAGCAAGCCAAAAAGTGTTAAGAAAACAAAAATTTCAAAATCTTCAAAACAGAACTTTGTGTGGAAAGTCAAAACTCACATTCCGGAAGAAAAAGTAGTAACCACTACTCCGGAAGTTCCAAGCCCGAAGAAAGCTGTTCCAAATCCCTCTGTTATTGAATATGACTATTGGATAGATGAAATAACCATGTTATTTATTTGTTTCCTAAGGAATCTCAGAACAAACTTTCTAAAACAACTGTTGCTCAAAAGTCACTTCCAAAGTCTAAGACTCGGACCTTTGTCCCAAACCCTAACATGGAGCCTAAAAACTCCACCATTCACTAATTTTGCAGGCACTCTGTGCTTCGAAGCAAGAGACAATATGGTATATTGATAGTGCTTGCTCTATGCACATGATAGGGCAGAAGGACTTTCTGTGTGATATCAAACTTGCACCAAATGATGTATGGCAACAACTCAAATTCTCATATCCGAGGTTATGGCATTCTTACCAATGGCAACTTCTTCATTTCAAATGTGGCCTATGTAGCTGACTTGAAGCACAATTTGATAAGTGTGGCTCAACTCACTTATGCAAATCGTCGAGTTGAATTCTGTAAGAAACACAACTACATCATGTCCGAAGATCAAAAGGAATGCTTGATCAAGTCCAATCGCAAGAAGAACATGTATCCTCTTGACATCAACATGATCATTGGCAAGCCCCAACTCTGCTTACTCTCTCAAGTTGTTCCTGACGTCAGTTGGTTATGGCATAGAAGGCTTGCTCACTTGAACTTCAGATATATGAATGATCTTGTTTTGGGTGAAATGGTTAGAGGTTTTCCACTCCTCAAATTCGAAAACGACCATCTATGTGCTGCATGTGAGTGTGGAAAGCAGTCAAAGAAAGGGCATCCCATCATCATTGAAAAATCTATCTCGGAACCATTAGAACTTCTACACATTGATCTGTGTGCACCATCAACAGTAGAGAGTCTGCATCACAAAAAGTACATTCTTGTGATTGTGAATGACTTTACAAGGTTCACTTGGGTCTTCTTCCTAAGGCTGAAATCAGAAACAGCCTCTGAGCTCATCAATTTTATCAAAGGAATATAAGTTCTCATCAAACTCCCTGTAAGGAGAATCCGAAGTGACAATGGTTCGGAATTCACTAACTCCTCCATTGAAAACTTCCTTACCGAGAAGGGCATCACCCACAACTTTTCTGCTCCCTACACTCCTCAACAAAATGGTGTAGTTGAATGACGAAACAGAACACTCGTTGAAGCTGCTCGATCCATGCTAAATTTTGCAAACCTGCCACTCTATCTTTGGGCTGAAGCTATTTCTATTGCATGCTTCACTTAGAATAGAAGTATCATCAATCAACACCTCAACAAAACACTATATGAAGCCATGAACGGTCGAAAGCCAACTATCTCGTTTCTTCATGTTTTCGGATGCAGATGCTTCATCAAGAATAACCGTGATCAGCTTACCAAGTTCCAACCTCAAGCTGATGAAGCCATCTTCCTTGGATACTCTTCCAAATCAAAGGCTTACAGAGTTCTTAATCGGAGAACTCGTGTTGTAGAAGAAAGCTTTGATGTTACCTTTGATGACATCTTCATTCGGAATTCCGGCCCAATCCATGTGACCACTCACATTATGGAGTCCGATGCTCCCGCGCCAGGATGTCCGACCCAACAAACAATTCTTAAAGTTGACTTTGAGATCCTGTTCAGACCCTCAGAAACGGCTCTTGACTCGGAATCTCGCACAAGATCAACCATGTCCGAAGCTCCGGTATCTCAAACAATGTCCGGTCCGATCCCAAGTCTTCCTCCATTTGATTCCGAACCGTTTCAACTTTCTCAGGTTGAGGGGGAGAATGGTCACTCTTCCCTTGAATCAAATGTGGATGGATTTAAAGATGCAGCTGCTGATTCTAATGATTCCAATCCTATCAACACCGATGATAATGCAAACCTCTTTGAATTCCCACCAGAAGATGATGACAACCTATCCGGTTCAGAAGTTCAGGGGGAGCATCATCCACATGTTCAAAATACTCAGGGGGAGAAACTCAACCTCATTGTTGATATTGGATCATTGCCACACAAGAACTCCCAAGGTTACATGCTTGGACCAAGGATCATCCTCCGAACCAAGTAATAGGAAATCCAAACGCTGGCATACAAACTCGATCTGCTACAAGTCTTCAACATGAATGTCATTTCTCGGCATTTATCTCAATGGTTGAACCTAAATCCATCAAAGAAGCACTCGAACATGCTGATTGGATTATAGCCATGCAAGAAGAATTAGCAGAATTTGATAGAAATGAAGTTTGGTATCTCATCCCTCCCCCTCAGAACCATCGCATTGTCGGTACTAGATGGGTGTTTCACAACAAGTTAGATGATGCAGGAGTTATCATTCGAAACAAAGCAAGATTGGTGGCTAAAGGATTTACACAGATTGAAGGCCTTGATTTTGATGAGACTTTTGCTCCTGTTTCACGTCTTGAAGCCATCAGAATCTTTCTTGCTTATGCTGCTCACAAAGGCTTCAAGGTTTACCAGATGGATGTCAAAAGTGATTTTATAAATGGTGAACTTGACACTGAAGTATATCTTCAACAACCTCCCGGTTTTGTTAATCTTTCATATCTGAACTACTGCTACAAACTCCGGAAAGCTGTTTACGGCCTTAAGCAAGCTCCTCGCGCATGGTACGAGGCCCTAACCGCTTTTCTCAAGCATTCAGGTTTTTAACGAGGAATTTTAGATACCACTCTATTCTGAAGGTCAAATAGGAAGCATCTCATGCTGGTCCTAATTTATGTTGATGACATCATTTTCGGATCCACCGATTCTTCAATGGTTGCTGACTTTGCACTACAAGAAAATGACCCTTTTACGACGTGAAAACAACGACACTCATTGATTTATGCTACGCAAAATAGAGTGACGTTAAAAAAGTGTCGTCCCTTAAAAAAAATTTAAGGATTTAGGTCACGCATTATTGCGTGCCCTTAAATTAGTGTCATAAGAAAAAAAAAAGTAATAACACGGAGGGCTCTGTATGTTAAATGCGCGTCCTCTATAAGTTTCGATTTATAATTTTAATGAAACGTGGGTTTAGTAGATACGGGGGAAAACGAAATCCCTAAAATTTTGAAAACCCGCTTTTCTACATTCTTTCTATCTTTCATCTTAGCAATCGATTCTCCCCCTCTCTCCTTCTCCCTCTTCTCCGATCCGCTTCTCCCCTCTCCACCACGCCATGATGAATGAGATCTCTTCGTCAATCAGAGCTACCAGCCGACAAAGACCTTAATTTTCTCCCTCCCTTCTGTCTACAAACCCTAGAAACCGCAACCACCATCAATATATCCAGAAGCATCTTCCCTGTCTGCGTTTGTAGGTAGCGTCGGCTTGTGGTGGCGTCTCCGGTGGAAATAAAAGGTGAAATTGAAAACTCCCTCCAGGTGAGAGAGAATAAAAAAAATAGGAATCGAAGTAGGGGAGTCCTCCGGTGCCGAACATCCCGAGATGAGAAGGTAGAGAAGATGCCGATTCAACTACCACCCCAACCAGTACCTCCAACTCCGTACGCCGACGGTTCTCACTGGCGGCTCAGCCGGAGGTAACGAGAGCGGCGCAGAAGGATGACTCTGTTAAATGTAACTGGAAAATATTTATCGAACTTTCAGGAATTGGTTAACGAATCTATTTCTCACTCGTGCAGATTCACCAATTTCATCCTGCAGATTCACCAATTGCATCTTGTTTGTTTAAGATCAACAATGAGTTTGAACCTAACTGTGTAAGTTCACAAAAATTGACTTTGTAAGTCAAATATCAAATTAATTGTTATCTATCATGGATTAAGATGGTCATATACCAAATATCCCAGATGTTCCTATATTGGATATCACAGAAGACATGGTGGCTGGAGAAGAATTTATAGACAACAAAGTCCCACGATACAAAAGAAACAATTTGGTGGCATGCCTGAACATTCCTAACAATAATTAAGAGATGCATGGGATATGAAGAACTGGTGAAATTCATTATAGGATAGGACACCCTCTGTCTACTGCATTCACTAAAGGTACACGTGTCATCCCTCAAGTTCTGCTAGAATTTTGGTACACGTGTAGAGTAGAGGGTAGTGCGGGGGACATTGTGAATGATGGGGAAAACACGGTTAGAATTACTCTCGATTATCTCAGAAAAATTCTTAGGCTATCTATCCTACCAAAATATGATCTAGAAGTCTCAAAATCTCAAGCAAGGTCAGTCGTGCTTGAGACAGCAGGAATTATAAGGTTGAAATCAGTCCAAGAATCACTCCAGAAAGTACAAGATCACATTCTGAGTTAGGCAAGTCAAAGGATGATGATAATGACAAAAAGGGGGAGAGCACAAAGAGAAGAAGAGAATCAGATGATGATCCTGAAGAAGGAGAAACTTGTTATAAAAGGTACAAGAGAAGAAAGTGGAAGATTATAGATGATGCATCAAACTTACAACTTGTTCAGATTCAACCACCAGATCCTACAAAAGAAGCCATTTCACTTGAAACACCCCAAATTGGTAAGAATCAGGTCCTACAACATTCTATGACAGATAATCTTTCTGAGATGTAGGTCTCTTCCCCAAAACCAGATGCTGGATCTTCTCCCCTAACTTGGATTAGATGTACTAAGCAGTGGATTTTAATAAATTGTTTCTTTAATTGCTTTAACATATGTAGTGGTGAATCAAGATATCAAAAATAAAGCTATCAAGAATAAATATCCCTTGGTAATTACTCTTTTTTTTATTATGACTTATGAGAATCAAGACCAAATGAAAAAGGATGATATCCTAATAACATGAATGTTTTCCATTTGTGGTTTTCTCCAGGATCCCCATAAATGTAACCAGTGTGAGAGAATTGATAGAACTATTGTTCATTGCACCAAGTGTAAAATAACGTTCTATTGTATCCTGTGCCTCAAGCAATGGTAAATCTTAAGTCTATTCTACCCCTGTGTCACCACCATAAATGTTTGTTTGTTACACAAATTCTCGTCACTAACCTAAATTAGCGTTTGAATATTTAGGTATCGTTACTTGTTGGAAGAAAAAATATTAGAAGCTTGCCCATTTTGTTGTGGAAACTGCAATTGCAACTCGTGTTTACAGAAAAACATTGAGGTTTATAATGAGACCTACAGACAAGAAAATGCATTATAACATGATGTGCTAATGCTAAATTTTCATACTTTTGTAACACAGATGCCAAACATAGACTGGAAGGGTGATGTGAAGTTGCAGCATCTTAACTATCTCATCAACTTACTACTTCCGTTTGTAAAAGAAATTCGTGAAGAACAAGAGGTGGAGATAGTCGTGGAAGCGGGTGCTTGTGAAGGTAATCAACTTACTGCTTCCATTAAAAAAAATCACTTCAACTGAGTTATGTTTTGTTTTAATGGCATTCTTATTAATCAAGTTAATGTTCTTCTTCCTGTCTAGAGATACCAAACTCTTCAGTGGAAATAGAGCGCTGCCTCGGGAGTAAAAGAGATGGTAATATTATTGAGTGTAGAGGATACAGAGGAGATACAAGGGAAACAGTTGGTGCTCTCTGGGACGTATTTCGTAGAGAAGATGTTAAATCCTTAGAGAAGTATCTATTGAAGCATTCAAAAGAATTTCACAAGGGTTTTTCTGTTGTGAAAGTATGTTTACTATTGTACATTATTTCTTTATCTATTTCACTTTTTTTCTTTATCTTTTAATGCTTGAATGATTTTTGTAGAATTGTAATCCTATTCACGATCAAACATTTTACTTGACATTGAAGCATAAAAGGAAGCTAAAAGATGAATATGGTCAGTATTCATAATTGTTTGTACTTTGGGCCATCTCCATTGCTTCTTTCGTCTACGAGGCCTATCGTGACGCCTTTCACCACTAATTCGTCTCTATCTTATCTCAAAATTTAGGTCTTTCCCTCTAACTACATGTGCATTTAGACTTTAGATTGATTGTGATATGCATTTTACATTCTTTATAACTTTTTATTTTGATGTTATTTTAGGTACAAGGGCAGCTATATCGTATCAGAATACAAGGGCGTTATATGTTATTTCTTTGACGTTGCATACGCCTTCTTTGACTTTATTATTTTTTTTTGTTTTTTATGTTTTCTTGATATCCATATATCGATAGAGGAGAACTTCATACAAAAAAGAAGGTGATCGTGACTAAGCTTCTAACAGAATCTTTTTCACACTGTTATTGGCAGGCAATTTAAGCACGATGTCAACTGATGAGAATATCGAGATATGGAAGATGAAGAAGCTTATAAAAGCACTTGAATCTGCAAGAGGCAACGGAAGCAACATGATTTCTCTTATAATCCCTCCATGTGATCAAATTTCACGAGTCACCAAGATGCTTAGTGATGAATTTGGAACTGCTTCCAACATTAAGAGCAGGGTGAATCGTCAGTCTGTATTAGGTGATACAACATCTGCCCAACAGAGGCTCAAGCTCTACAACAAGTTACATCCAAATTTTTCTTAGATAAATTTGGTTCTTATGTTATGAATACATGTTTCTGCAGTTACACTTCTCAACAGAGGCTCAAGCTCTACAATATGATACGTATGAAGTTTGTTTTGCCTATTTTTCCATATATTTATTCTTGTAGCTGATCTGTGCATTTTGTAATTGGAAGAGTTCCCTTCTCTTTATTTTCATATCACTTTTTATCTCAATGAAGATTTGAATGCAGTATGTTGTGCCTTCCTTATACATCTCACTAATCCAAAAGAATAATTAGAAAGTTCACAAATCTTCCATGCTTTGCATCACATTAACTTCAGTCTTGCTCATCCATATCTGATATAGATCATTGATTTTATTAGTTTATTGAAGATTATAGAACAAATGGCTTTCTATAATAACTTATTTGCCTTCTAAAAGTTGTTAACCACTTATATGCCCCTGTTTAACTGCAAAACCATTCATTTGTACTACAAGTTTATATATGTATGAATACACTTTTATGTCTCAAAAAATATTTTGGTAAAATAAGAAGTATATATTAACTTTTGAAATCTAATTCTTTAATGTGGAATGAGTTCTAGAGGTCACTTTGTTGAATTCCAAGGTGTCAACAATTTTTTTTTAAGATCAGTTGCCCTGTTTTTCTATACTTGATCCACCTTTTATTTGCAGATTTGGCCTTCACGTACTCTAAGTTCTGTTGCTTCCAAGCTTGCTGTTGATACCCTCTTCTTACTGGACATGTAAGTTTCAAATCTTTTATGTTATTGCCGATACCCAACATGACTTGTCTGATTGGTCAATCCATGAGAAGGTTATTGCAGCTCTTTCAGATGATACATCGGGTCATCAGAATGAAGGAACTTCTGTTAGCCCCACAAGTAATAAAGGGTTAACAGAAGGTTATTACAGCTATTTCAGATTATCAAAACCCTCATGCACAGGTTGGTTGCATCTTCCTTCTTTCTTTTTGTTATAAATAAAATGAGTTTTGCTTTTGCATGAAAGTTGAAATAAAAAAAGGGTTACACTTTAATATGAAAAAAAGTTGGAAGTAGAATGCTATGGTGTGATAGAAAGGAGAAATGAAAGTATATTGGTATTATTTGAAATTTCAGGGAGCAGCACCATCTTTGCCTCTGGGTGTAGAAGGACAGGCTCATCGTTTAATTGTTGAAGCAGTTTCACACATAAACCTTGGGAAAATGTATATCTGGTGGATGCCTTGGTTTTAATAATATTCACTATCTTCTGGAAAGTTGAACATAGATACATATCAATTCTCAAAGCTCAATCATCAATGCTATTTGCTCTACTGTGGATCCTGTCCTGGTATGGATACTATTAACTCAAGGGATAAATGTAGAAAATGGCAATGTACTTTTGTTTATTTGTTTGTTATAGCATCTTACTTTAAAAAGAGTTTGAAATTACAATGCTATAATTGGGTACATTTTCAATTTACAAAGTCTTAACTAGAAAAACAGAATGTTGTAATAGAAAGAAATGAAGATAAGATGCTAAAATAAACAGCTAAATCAAAGTATCATGTACGTAAAAAAATGATGTTTGACAAGCATTTACATATTTGAACAAAACCAGTGCATCAAATATGTAAATGTGTTCGGCTACCATTACTTGTGAATGGTTATATGCTTAGATTTCAGTTGATATCATGTATCAAGAGCTATAAAATATGTGTCTAACCTGGGTTCTATGCAAGGTGGAGCAGCTTATGAAGTTGAGTTTTCTTGACATGTGTTGATTTATGGACCTCCAGTGAGTTCTCCATACTTACTCCTTCCATAAAAAAAGAAAAGAATCAACATTTTACTTTTAAGTGAGTTATTCATACTTACTCCTTCCATATTAGCATTTACTTAAACTATGCAAATATCTTGTATGTCAGGGTTTTGGGAAGATATTATTAGCCACAACTGTTGCAAAAACTGTTGAAGAACATGAAGTTGTCATGACACACATGTAGGGTATCACATGAATTCTCTAGCTACTATTGATTTATTATGAGAAATTGTTTTTATGGAGGGTTACTTTTCATAGAGTGTATGCATGTTATTCTAAACTTGCTTTGAGTAAGTCCCAAGCTATCCATCAGGCCCTTTCTAGTTACACATCTGAAGCCTTGGATCATGCTCCTTCCCTTGTGGTACTTGATGATCTTGATAGCATTATAGCATCACCCAATGCCTCATAAGACAATCACTCTTCACCTTATTCTACTTTGCTCATGGAATTTCTCATAGGCATCTTGGATGAATATGAGGTATGATTGCATGATTCAAATTTATAGGTCTTGTTGATGTGCGTAGTGTCAAGCAAAGTAGCTCGGATTTTGTGAAAGTGGTGACCAAGTTCTTGTGGTTCTACTATTATTTGTTGATGATTTTTCATCTCCTTCACACTTGATATTACATTTATTACTATTGAAACGATTATTTGTATGACATTTAATTTTGTGCAAGGGATTGTATTTTTATATATGATATTTTTTTTGTATTATGAGACATTAAATGTTAATTTAATTTGAAAATTAGTAAATCTATAAAAATATATGTATTTTGAAACATTTAAGATTATGACACGCAAAAATGTGTCATCCTCCTTTATGACAGGGGATTTAATGATACACATTGCGTGTCGTAAACGTGCGTCGTAAGGTTACGACACGCACATGCGTGTCGTCTTCCTTTATGACAAGGCCTTCCTTGATACACATTGTGTGTCGTAAACGAGCGTCGTAATTGCACGTCGTAAATGCGCGTCGTCTATAGACAACGCGCAAAAACATATCGTCTCTCGTTATGACATGGCCTTCCTTGACATGAATTTGCGCGTCGTCTGAGCGTTTTACGACACGCATTGCGCGTCGTAAAAAGTTGTTTTTCTAGTAGTGTTGCTAAGTTAATGGTCAATAGATTTCAAATGAGCATGAATTGGGAATTAAGCTTCTTTCTTGGTCTTCAAGTCAAACAGACCAACAGAGGAATTTTCATTCACCAAGAGAAGTACATTTCAGAACTCCTCAAAAAGTACTCAATGGACACCTGTGCCTCAGCCAAGGTACCAATAGGTTTCGGACACAAAATCTTTGCCGACCCTTCAGGTGTAGCAATTGATGAAAAGAAGTACAGAGGAATGATTGGATCCTTGCTATATCTCACAGCAAGTCGTCCGGACATCATGTTTTCCACATGTTTGTGTGCCAGATTTCAAGTCAACCCAAAGATGTCTCATCATTTGGCTGTGAAGCAAATTTTCCGATACCTCAAAGGCACTAAGAATCTCGGAATCTGGTACCCAGCAAATGAGAGCTTCCTACTTCAAGCATATTCAGATTCAAACTATGGTGGTCTACAATTTGATAGAAAAAGAACATCAGGTGGCTGTCAATTTTTAGGTGGTCGATTGGTTAGTTGGTCATCCAAGAAACAGAACTGCATTGCACTCTCAACAGCCGAAGCAGAATACATTGTTGTTGCCAGCTTTACCTCTCAAGTTCTATGGATGAAATCTCAACTTTTGGATTATGGTTACTGCTTTCAACGCATTCCTATCTATTGTGATTGTCAAAGTACCATTGCGATTTCGCACAATCCAATCCAACACTCCATGACGAAGCACATTGACATACGGTACCATTTCATAAAAGATCATGTCTTAAATGGCAACATTGAACTCATTTTTGTTCCATCTGACGATGAAATTGCTAATATCTTTACTAAGGCATTAGACGAAACCAAATTTAATGGTTTTCTAAACAAGATGGGTATGATGATGCCTGATCCTCAGTTCTTTCAGGAGACATGCTCTCTCTAAAGGTAACATCAGTTAGAAAATTGGTTCCGAACTCAAAACTCTTTTTTATCTCGAAACTATTGTCTCTCGGAATACATAGGATCATTTTACTTGTCTTTATCACTAACCACCACTTGAGCCTTTTTTAGTTGTGCAATTCATCTTATCATATAGTTGTCACACCCCGATCCTTGTCGGAATCGATCAAGGCGTGATATATTGTTCAAAGTCTCATGACAACTAGGTTATAATGTGATTAGATTCAATTAAGTACTAAGTATGCAAACAAGATCCACAACATACAAGTACAAATACAAATGCAAACCACATTTATTACATCAAATTTAAATTGTCTTGTGGATTTCTAAGGCACAACCTATTTTTCATCATTCTTCATTCTTCAAATCTGCATCATGGGTAAAAACAGGTCAACTACGAGAGTTGGTGAGTAATCAAATTTTAGTAGAGAAAATTGTGAAGTTGAAACATTTATAATTTGAAATCTGTTTTCTTTTGAAGTCACCAAACAATTGTACTTTAGATAACGGTTTATAAATCAAAAATTGATTAACAATTGATAACAACAACAATAAGTCCTCACCCTATATATATACATATGTATATATATAAATATATATAGGATGGAGCATCTAATCATCATACACACTCAACCACGTGTGATCAATCACCTTAGCGTCCCAAGGCGGGGTGGTTAACCCAATAGCGCTATTATTGTCCATAACGTACCTCAAGAATACGGGCATAGTCATGGAGATTAGACTAAAAATGATAATGCACTACAAGTACATGTAGCGTAAACGAACAATAGTTATACAATTAATGACTCACGTATAAATGTCGCAACAATGTCTCAATTGTGATAAAACAATAAAATGAAGTTGGAACATATTAGAACCACATGATACACCCCAAAAGTATTGAAAATTATAAAAATATTGGGTAGATTACTCACATTAGTCCCAAAACGAAATGCATGTGTCGTACGATAGACGATTCGGGTCAAAATGGCGTAGAACCTAATATAATTAATAGTTTTGGTTTAGGAACTGCTAAACGAGAATGGAGTATTAATAAATAATTAGACACATATTCTTATATTAGATGAATTAACAATAATTCATTTTGATTATAATATTAAGGTATTTATTTGTTAAATGAATTTTAAATTGAATTACTTA